ATCTATCTATCTATCTATCTATCTATCTATCTATCTATCTATCTATCTATCCACATCTAACTAGCTAGCTATTTTGCAAATAAATTCCACCTGAAGCTTTGATGCCACCTAAAATATCACAGAATTTCATCAGGTGCAATATATTTCCCTGTAATTGTAATTACAACTACTGAACTATTTAAAATTTTAAAATAATAATAACAGAGTTGGAAGGGATGTTGGAGGTCTTGTGGTCCCCCCCATTACTCAAGCAGGAGGCTCTATACCATTTCAGGAAAAATGAAATTATTATTTTTTAAAAAAAATTGTAATTGCATTGTAATTTAATAATTATCTATTATGAGACCTCTGTAGCAGGATAATCACTCCACCATTAACTGTTTATAGCTGCAATATATAAAGAGAGAAAGAGAGAGAGAGAGAGAGAGAGAGAGAGAGAGAGAGAGAGAGAAATATAAGCTATTTAGAAGCAACCCATTTTCTCTGCATCTGAAACACTCTTAAATGCAGAACCCTGATAGAAAAAGGGAAATCCCATCTCTTTAATTCAAAACCAGTATCCTGCTGTATCGCAGTGTTGTTTGGGGAATACAGAAAATTCAAAATATATAGCTGGCTTGATGCCAATTTAATCAGATATTCATGGAACTCATTTTCCAATCTAGGGGGATTGCTTGGTGCAGTTTGATGGCCCAGATGTATCTATACATATTACATGGGCAGCTCTGAAACACATCTAATTCCAAGACATTCTTCTTCCTTGCAACTATTTCCAGATTCGTTTTTTGTCTGCCTGCGTTCAGTAACAGGATCTAAGCGTTAGTTCTGATCAAAAGCTATACCATAAGAAAAAGCAGTAGCGTTTCTCAAATCTAGTTTCACAGCCAGGAAATGCTTCGGTTCTTCTCTTCCCTGAGCTCCTTTTTCCAATGGCAACTGGACTTGGTTTTTCCTTGAAGATGTTTCTGTCCTCATCCAAGAAGCTTCTTCATGTCTGAAGAATGAACTGGAGAAGCTTCTCAAATGAGGAGAGAAACTTCTTCAAGGAAAAACCAAGTCCAGTCACCATTGGAAAAAGGAGCTTTATGATAATCTGGATGATGGACAATCTCCACAGATGTTTCTGTGCTTCAAACATCTGGAGAAGGGGTTTAGCTACAAATCCTCATCTGAAATTCTTTGGCCAACTGGATCCAATAATTATGTACACATTGCTGTGTACATAATTATAATAATTAGGCTATGCCAGATCAGAGCTACATGTTCGGCTTAATTCTCATCATGTCTTCTTTCCAATTGTTTATTTATATCCTGCCTTTACTTTTACAGATAACTCAAGACAGCAAACATATCTAAAACGTGTTCTTTCTCCTATTTTCTCCACAAAAAACAACCCTGTGAGGTGGGTTAGGCTAAAAGAAAGTGATTGGCTCAAAGTCATTCAACTGGTTTTCATGCCTAAGGTGGGACTAGAACTCCCAGTCTCCTTGTGATTGTCTCAAAGTCATTCAACTGGTTTTCATGACTAAGATGGGACTAGAACTCCCAGTCTCCT